GTTGGGCCAGGCTCGCAGCTGGCCGAGAACAATGCCGGCAGCACTTCAACAATCAAATCAGCGCGCAGAGAAAGATTATTCAATAATCAATGTCTCCCAGGAGGCGCTGGGGTGGACGGTGGGCCCAAGAAAAACCTAATGCCGAAGGCTACGGAATACAGACAGCGGCGTATTGACTGGAGGCATTCACGCTTGGCTGATCATGCCTGTTTCGTGTCTCCGCCAGAAGTTAGAAACATTGTCTATTGGCAGCTGTCGGTTGGGCGAGGCTCACAGCTGGCCGAGAACAATGCCGGCAGCACTTCAACAATCACGCGCAGAGAAAGATTATTCAATAATCAATGTCTCCCGAATCCGCTATCATATAGTGTTCTCGCAGGGCACGGAGAATAAGGGGGGCTACACAGAAGGCAGACTGTGTCTGAGATGCTGAGCCAGGCATCGCGAGACAAATGTACAAAAACGTTGCGGATACTGCTGGGTCTGCTTGGTACGCCAAACTCCGTGAACCTTGCCGGTCAGAGTCGCATGAGGCTGCTGAGTGAAGGCGCAAACACCTCTGGTGCCTGTGCAACGCCTGCCCAGCGCCTTCATCGCAGGGCAGTGCCACACCAGCAGCCTCGTGGGCTTTTTCCAAGGAGTGCCGTAGGCACACTGATCCAGCAACACTTCTTGGTGATCAGAAAACTCAGCCCTCAATCGAAGAAGACCAGGATGAAGCCAGCGCCTGGATGTCAGTGGGTTCTCTATGACCACGACGACTCTCTTCGGTAAAAGTTCCAAAAGTAGCTTCACCGATAGCTCTACCATGAGATTCCCCAGCTGCACAGCCTCTCTATCACAATCACGCTCATGCTGTGGATACCCCGACAAGAACTTATCATCATCTCGCAATCTGGGAAGAGGAGGGCGGTCGCGAATGCGAGTCCAGGTCGAGCAAACGATTCCAACCCAGAGAGCTGCGAACACCCCGCTCAGCCCGAAGCGGTTCTCGGCCGCTTTGAAGTCGCGGGCGATGCTCTTGATGACGGCGGCACTCGAGAGGTCGGCCTTTGAACTGATGTCCGTGTCCCAGCCGACGCCCCCGATGCCCTGGCGGCCCGCGCTGTCGAGGATCCCGTGCGCGCCGCAGTGCAGCTCCTGGAGGAGCCACGGTGTCCTCCAGCGCCGCGCCCGCCCGGGCTGGGGTCGGAGAACATGCCCACCTGAGACTTGATCCACTCCGCCGCGCGAGACGCGGCGGCCTGTTGCGCCGTCGACAGCTTGGCCCACTCCTGCTGCACCACCCCCGCCGCCTCGTACCGCTTGACGGTCGCGCCCGAGCTCCACCTCCCCCGGCGCTTGACGTCGAGGAGCGTGCGGGCCCCCATGAGGATGTCGTGGGGCGGCCCCGCGTGGCGGATCTGGCACAGGCGATGCCGCTGGGCTGGAAGCAGACCGAGCTGCTCTTGCGAGCGGCCCCACTGAAGGCTGAGCTCCCTCTCGCTGACCTCGAACAACTTGGCCAGCCGTTGGCCGCGACGTCGCCGATGCAGCGCTGGGCCCAGACCTGGGAGGTAGGGAGAGTCGAGGAGCAGCGCCTCGTCGGACACCCCCACCTTTGACGTCTCTCCGCGGCGGGCGGGGTGCACGTTGAGCACCCAGTGGCTGCTCGAGCCCCCGGGCGGCACCAGGTCCCCCCCCCTCAGGCTGTGGACGTCCACGGGCCTGAAGTAGCAGACGAACATGGTCAGCAGGCAGAGTGGGATGGTCCAGTCCTGGAGGCGGAGGTATATGTGCCAAGCGATCCAGCACGCCACCTCGAAGGGGACGGGCGGCGCGGTCTGCGCTGGCGCCAGCAGGCCTAGTCCCCGGGCTGCGCGGGAGAACCGCGGGAAACGCAGCTTCCCGATGGGCGACAGGCCGGCCAGGTGCCAGGCGGCCGCGGCGTACATCTTCATGAGGTCGGGCCGCTCGAACCCCTCGAGAAACAAGTAGTCCGCGAAGTCCACCAGCGCAATGTCGGCATTCTTCACGCTGTCCAAGGTGTAGCCGTTCATATCCGCAAAATCCTGGAGCTCCTCCCACCAGGCTGTGTATAGGCCCTCCGTGGGTGCCGTAATCGAATGACGTTCGAGAATGGAATGCTGGCCCGACAAGGCGAGACGCTCGAAGGCCCCGAAGATGCTCTGGCGCTTCTCCCGACGGCTCTCTCTCGAGGGTCCCGAGATGCGCTCCACAGCTCTTTGACGCTGAAGGCGCAGCGGCGCCGAGCCCACAGGCCTCGCCGAGGTGGAACCCCGGTGGTGCCGCTGGAGTCGTGAGGTCACGCCCTCCCCATGGCGCGCCAGAGCCGTCTTCTGACACTTGGCGCGGCGGGTGGGCGCCCGAGCCGCTGCGGCCCTTCGGAGCCCTGACGTCGCTCCCCCATCGTCTGGAGGATCGGTCGGCAACCTCATTGAGCTCAGAAGGGGTCCACCGTGCAGAGAGACTCGAGCCTGTAGCCAACATATAGGTAGCAATGCGCCTGATGATTATGAGCAGGTCGTACGATGATGCCCGAGAACGCCCAATAGCCAAAGTGTTCCCCAGCTGGCCCCCCACGAGTAGAAGACGTTTTCCAAAAGACCGAGACGACCTCATATAGTGCTGTATCCCCAACAAAGACGCCCGACCTTCCAGAATAGGTATAGCCTCCTCCCTCCTGAAACGCATAGCAAACACCTCGTGCCACTTGTCGGGGTCCATGAAGGCCTCTGGGATATCGTCGAACCCCGGGTTGACCTCCAGGTCTTCAGGTGCCCCCCCAAGGGCCTGTCGGGTTACTGGCAGGACCGCATCCACGTCTTGAAGAGGGCCCCCGCCCAGGGCATGCAGACGAGGACGACAGTGAAGGGGATGACGAGAGCGATATCTCCATCTCTCGCGGACTCGGCCAATGGACGCCGCCTCCGCGGGGTCCGCACGGCGCGCAGCGATCCCTGCGCCAGACTCGCACGCATCAGTCGACGCGACTGTATCGTGCCAAGGCCTGTCCAGCCGAGCGAGACCAATGAAAGTGAGAGAACGTATCCAGCGAACTTCGCGCCGAGCAGAAGGCCACAAACTCTGGGGCTTCTTATCTGCCGCCTGCGCAAAGTCGTAGCAAGATCTGAGCACCGAGAGGACCTCCCGTCTAATCAGAAAGAAATCGACCACGTGGCCAAGGTACTGCTTCATCTGCCTACCCGTCACTGGTTGACCCCCCTCAAGAGCCTCACAGACCTCGCGAAGACGCCCCCCTCGTTCAGACCGATTACGAACCACCCAGGACTCCCCATCGATGACGCGACCCAGCGAGTGCGACAGGGTCTCGGGCTCGGTCTCCTCATGGACAGTGAACTGCACGAATCGAAGCCTCCGAACGATCACATCCTTTGCCTCCTTCACCTCCTCCCTCCTGATACCCGCAACATTGATGTTGTCGCAGTAGGGTAGAACGGCCAACTGGGCCCCAAGATCTGGAGCAGGGGCCTGGCCCCTCAGGAACTTGAAAGCCAAGCCAGCCCCAGCCAAGGAAACTCTGCACTGGTGTTCCACGAGGCGCTGGACGAAGTAGAAGGCCCAGGAGAATCCCATTGGAAGAGTCAGCAGCATTGGGTAAACCGAAACCTCTCGAGCCAAATCCCCAAGGCCACTAGGGCCCCCAATACCAGCGTCGGCTCTCTCTCCCTCCGTGATCGGCGGCATGCAGAAGCACGGGCACAGCTCTGGAAGATTGCGAACACAGTGGAAACAATCCTTCACGTCCGCCTGAGCGACCCAGAGTTTGCTTCCCCCACCTCCGCTGGCGTCAGTTCCGCCGACCTCGGCTTCAGGACGAGCCTCTGGACGCTCCAGGTTGCCCCGCGCTGCAGCCGTGCCCGTCTCAGGGGCAGGGGGTGCTCGAAAGAGGAGGTTCGTGCTTCTGCAATCCATGATGAGTCGTGACCTGTCGCGCTTCTTTACCACAAAGAAGGGGGTCACCAAGCTCAGAGGCTTCTCAGTCCAACCGATCATCTTGGCGTCGCTAAGGTCTCTCAAAAACTCAACGTAGACATCTCGCTGCGCCTTAAAAATCTCGTCGAAATACAACCTAAACTGATGTCCCGACTCTCGATAGAACCCCACATCAACAGGGTCAGCAAGCATATGAGCATCCCATGACTTCAGCAAATCCTGGTCAGGCTCCGGGAGGGTGCACAGCAGATCCGCCGAGGGCCTCCCGGGATCTGGAAGAGAAACCGGATCCCGCCGATAGGGGCGAACCGTGGCGCTGCAATCGCTGCCTGCATAGTCAACGATGCTTGACAAGAGCTCGCGAACGGCCCCGTGTCTGGTGCACAAGGTCTGGGATGGCGGAGTGGACGCGACGTCACAGCGTATCGCATCCTGAGACAGCATCTGGCCCATCGCGGGGGTTCCGTCGTGCACCCCGGCGCAGCCCTGCATCTCATTCAAGGTGTTGATGACAGAGTTGGTGGCTCTGTCCAAAAACCTCCTCCTCGCCAGGCGTCTTCGCACCGAGCGTGAGGGATGTCCCTCAGTAGCCGACTGCTCAACAACATGAGGGAGCGGAAATAGATCCCGTGGCCGAGCTCTATCAAAAAATTGTGGACCTCCTGGGTGTGTCACTGCCGAGGGGCTAGGTCCGTCGCCCCTCGGAGGGGGCCGCATCACCCCTGGCCCTCTGGGACCTTGTCCTTGTGGTTCTTGTTGTTCTGGCGGCCCAGACGACGCTCCTCCCGGGCCTTCCTCTGCTCCTTGGCCACCTGGTGCTCTTCGCGGAGGGCCGTCGCCACGTGCTGCTGGAGCAGCGGGGCCACCATCGTGCCCTGACGGCGGCGGCCCCACCCCATGTGCTGGTCGGCGGCCGAGTAGTCGGGAGCCGAGGGGTTCAGGGAGTGGGCGCTCTCGATCAGCTGGAGCCTCCTGCAGACGAGCTCCGCACTGCGCAGCGCGGGGGCGTGCAGCTGGTCCGTGCACACCATGCACTCGAGCACCTCGGAGAGCACCTCATGCTCGAAGACACTGCGGTCCCCGCTCGAGACGCCCGATGTCGCCCTCCACGACGCATGCTGAGACACTGGCGTCTGGGACCTCTCGACGTAGGTCTGGCATCTCCTGGACACGGTGCCAGGGCCCTCCAACCCCAAGCCCCCCTCGGGCTCGTCGGGCACGAAGCTGGCGACGCCATCCTGGAAGAGTCTCCTGCGTCGTCCCATGCCGTCGAACTTCACTGGCATCACCCTGAGATCGTCCATCTTGAACTCATCTATACTGTCCTGGGGGATCATCTGCAAGAAAGCCGTGCTGCCGTCCGCCGCGGGGACGACCGCCCTCTCTCCTAGCACCACTGCCCCCGCAGGGAGCTCCTCCACACTGTCGCCCTTCTGGTGGCGGCCGTGGTCCTCGGCAAAGACCCACACGCGGCCGGGCTCGGCGCGTCTGGCGGCCGCCCCCGCGGGGCGGCCCAGACCTTGCCTCTGCACGTTCCGCATCGGGGCCGCCAGGGGGGCTGGTGGAGGCGCCGGCGCTGCTCCCAGCATGCCCTGCGCCTCCGCGAAGAGCCTCTGGCGCTCATTGGGCGGCACGTTGTGGCGGAACCGATAGATCTCATTCTCGGGCACATGAGCTGGACGACCTCCCGGCAGCCCGATCCAGTACACCGCCTCAACGTCATCTCCAGGTGCTATGTTGAACTGATAGTGGTCCCGATCGGCGGTGTACAACGTAATCTCGGTGGGATCCTCTGGACTGACCCCCGTGATCAACGTCTCATGGTACAGGTCCTCGTCTACCCCGTTGTATTTGATGAGGATGTAATATCCCCTGGCTGCCATACTCAATGCTGCGTGTGGCGCCCTGCCTCTCGACGGGCACGAACGGCTGCCACTTGCTCAGCGGCGAGCTGTCGCCGCTTCTCGTCCGTCACGGACGGGTTGACGTGCTGACCGCCCGCCTCCTTCTGACTCAGCTTCCTCCTGGCACACCAGCAGCCGAGCAGCACTCCCGCGGCTGTCGCGATCAGCAGCGGCACGAAGAGGAAGGCGAAGATGCCCTCCTCCAGCAAGGGGTATACCTCCCTGAGGTCGGGGACAGACGGACTCTCCACGATCGGGCAATCATTCTCGGGGCACTCCGGCCTCGGGCAGACCACCTCCGGGCACTCGCAGATCACCTCGGGGCACCCCTCCACGTGCCCTGGGTAGCCTCCTCCGCCCTCAAAGGAGGCGGACTGTCCAGGCCCTCGCGCGGCCTGCCAGACAAGGGCGGCCCAGCCAGGCAGCCCTGCTATCGCGGCAGCGTACAGGGCCTGAAGGTCTAGGTTGAGCATACACCCAAGAAAAACCTAAAGCCGAAGGCTACGGAATACAGACAGCGGCGTATTGACTGGAGGCATTCACGCTTGGCTGATCATATATGTATATATATATACATATATATATATATATATACATGTGCGAATCCCAAACTATTTATCGAGACAACCATCACGCACTCATCGGCAACACCCTCGGCACAACCATCGGGACAACCACCGGGAAAGGGGGCTTGGGACGGGTGGGCGTATTGCAGCATCGCTGATGTTTCCTGGGTATACTCGGGTCCCTGGTCCTCATCATCCTCTATATTCTCGCAAGTCGGATCATCGTCAGGACCACTCCGTTCACTCGGTGCGCGAACCTTCCCGAGGGCGTCCACCTCGCTAGCCCGCATCTCCTTGCGCACGTCGTAATACTTCAAGAGCCAGTCGCACTCCTCACCATCCCCAGCATTGCAAGTTGACTTAATACGATTCCATCGGCCACAATATGGTTACAACGCTTCGATTGCCAACACTCTGCATACCGCATGCGATGAACTTACGTAAAACGATCACGTGTTTCGATCAACAATGCCGGCGCGTGCACGTCATTCGAGACAAAAGAACATGCGGCATATTACCAGGCGCACGCATGCATAATATACGTGTTCACCATCCCCAATGGGCCTTCCCCAGAGCCTTCCGCTGGGGGCCTCCACCCCATCGGCTCAGGTCCTGGGTCCTCCAGCCCCCACAAGTCTAGATCTACACCCCATGTCCTCGGGTCTAGCTCTAGACCTGTGTCTCAGGCCATCCCCAGCCCCCATTTGTCTAACTCCAAACCTTTGTCCTCCTCCCTGGCCACCTCCTCCTCAATGTTCCTTCCATGTCCATGCGCCAGACCGTTAAGTCGTCCTTATTCTCTCGTCCACTTGTCTGGTCTTGGTCAGATGTGTCATTTGTCAAGCTATAGATCGTGTAATCCCACCAGCCTTATACTTAGGCTTACGTTGTTTGCAGCATGAGCTCTTCCAGACTCCCCCGCTTTCCCCTTCGGGGAGAGAGTTTCGCTTCCTTCCACTCTGAGGGCCTCGGGAGGGTCGCGATAGGTTTGGAGCGTCAAGGGTGGCCCAAGATTGCTCCAAGAGGCCCCAAGACAGTCCAAAGACACCTCGAGATGGCCAAAATCATGTCTCCAAGGCCGCAAAGTGCCCGCTTGCTCGAGAGAGCCCCAAGAACACCCCATGTTTATGGCTCCATGTGGGGGATGATGGAGGAGCTAATTCAAGCCACTTCCTTTCCAGACGATGACCCCCAAGATGGCCCCGAGAGTTTCCGAAATGATACCGAAAGAGCCCTGAGCGAGCTCCGAGAGAACCCCGAGGCTTTCCAAAAAAGCCCCAAGATAACCCTAGGATGACTCCACGGAGCCTCCAAGAGGCTCCCAGAAGCCCCCACAATTTTTTAATCGTTGGAATCTGCTCGGATTGACCAGTGTCCCCAACGCTGCGTGTTCGCTCATAGCCCCCACTGTTCTTTTCACAACACAAGCCCAAGGATCGCATCTGGGTGGGCCGGTGGGAATGCTCGAAGCGTCGAGCATTGCACCTTCGTCGACCCAAGGCCGTCCACAACCGAAGACCGACCGAACCGACAGTGAAACCGAAACCGACTGGGACCAACTGGCCGCAGGCAGCCGAGAAGGCGCAGTGACGCAGCAACGACCTTTCAGCCAACCGAAACAAGCCGACCGAATGCAGCCGACTGCGACGCAACCGAGCAGCCCGAACCTGGGACTGCCTAGCGACCCCTTGGGTTCCTGGCGGGGGGTGCGTGCTCCCCCTTCAGCCCCTCCTCTCGGGAGTCGATGTTCACGACTTGGGACGGGGCGTGGGCAAAGGCGGTCAGCTTCGAATCGGAAAATCGGATCGGGTCGGAATGTTCGATACATCGGGCGGCATCGGATGGGCCGCGCCAGGAAACACAACAGCGCCATGCAAGCATCGGGCCGCGGCGGAACGCCAGAATTATCGGATTCGAATCGGAACAGGCCAGCTGGAATCGATACCGCATCGGATCGATCGGATCGAAATGGACCTGCGCAGGTGCTCACGCAGGCCTGGAAGTGCGCGGGCAGGCGCGGGCAACCACAGACAGGGTTCGGGACGGCACGAGAGGGCGCAAGGATGTCCCAAGAAGGGCCTTACAGCGGGCCGCAGCAGTAATGCACACACAGTTCGTGTCCTCATCGACGAGCGAGGATCGAGGCGTTCGTGCGTTTCGGCTCGGTTTGTTTTGTTTCTGGGCGCGCAGGTGGGTTCGAGGGGCAGGGGCACATTGCATGACTGTTGAAGGTGAGAGTAGGAGGTCGCCAGGAAGGCACAAGGAGCCTCCAAGACGAACCACGAGGTCCCGAGAAGCTACTAGAAGGGCACGGTGGGTCCCAAGCCATGCCCGCACCTGCAAAATCCTTCGAATGCCTTTTGTACTTCTGTGTTCTCTGCTTCTCGCCCGCAGGAAGTGCTTGAAAGGTCCCCAAGGCAGCCCAATATTAGCACATGAAGTCCCCAGACGTGGCGGCAAGCCTGGGGGGGGAGAATCAGACGGGGTGGGCCTTCTCAGAAGGCTCGGAAGACATCTGGCCTTATGAGAAGTTACCTAAGCGAATCCGAATGCACAGAAACTTACCATATGTCGCGATGGTTTCTGAAAAGCCCCGCCGCCTTCTGAGAACGTCTCATCCTCATCACTTGCCCCCTTGGCGCGCCGCCGACTCAGTTGGGTCATGATGGCCAAGGGGGTCAAGACGCCCCAGAACAGCCCGAAAGGGCGCCGAGAGGCCACCATGACGATCTAAGCACGCTCCACGAGGCACACCTGGAAACCCAGCTCGAGCCAAAGAAAGCCATCAGCCAAGCCAAACATGCGCTGCAACAACATACCCCTCCCCCCACACTCTTTCTTCGCCTCCCTCTATAGTGTCTCTCTCACTCGCTCTCCAAACAAAACCCGTAGTAAGGATACACGGTGCGGATTCAAGGCCCATTGGACGTCAAGATGGGCTATGGGCGGCGGCCAGCATGGGCGAGTGATCTGTCGAAGAGGCAAACGTGAAAGGGCACCCTTGCACTACATCCTTATTCTGGGTTTTAACTGCATATATCATGCCTTCTCCTTCTCCTCCTTATCTGGCTTGATTTAAGGCGAAATTTTCGGACTCAACCGACTCAACCTGTTGTTGCATCACTTTCAACATCATCGTCATCGTCGTCGTCATGATATCCATCATCGTCCGCGTCATCGCCATCATCATAACCATCTCCTCATCATCGCCATCATCATAATATCCATCATCCTCCCCTCGTCATCGTCATCATCACGTAGTGATGATGATGATTAAATCACGACCCGCGTGACGATGATGGCGGCGTGAACATGTTGATGCTAATGATGATGACGATGATGGCGATGATGATGATGATGACGATGATTGCGATTATGATGACGATGAAGATGATGATTTCGGACTGCGCGGGCCGTGCTGAGAACTCATCGGAAAGCCCCATTTCGTCAAGCACCTCCGTGAGCTCGGGCCACCGCATTTCGTCAAGCACCTCCGTGAGGTCGGGCAGCGCCACGGGGGCCCGCGCCAGGTGATCGGCCACGACGTGGTTCACGAAGTTGAAGAACTCCTTCGGGCCAGGCGCGGCGTCGATCCTGCGCGCCCTGAACTCCCGAAAGACGTCGGAGCGGATCATGACGGCGATCTGCAGCCTGCTGTCGTCTACGCGCTGTTGCAGCTCGTGGTGGGCCGCGAAACAGTCCCGGCAGTCCGCGGAGGCGTGGTGATGCACGTTGTGCTCGAGGGAGGACAGGGTGCCCATGTAGAAGGACCCAGGGATTTGCTCGAGGGTGACGACCCTTCCGCAGGAGGCTGTGCTCGAGGGTGACGCCCCATCATGTGCTCCCAGGACCCCTGGGATCCTCACTTGCACGGAGCGCGCCCCGAAAATCGCTACGGCCGCGTGCAACAGGGAGCATCCGCCATCTGTGTGCCAACCATCGTCCCGTGCGCCTGGTTGCATGAGCTGGATCGATGCGTACGCGAACGCGTTGTCGGCGAAGTGCTCTGTCATGATGGGCTTTCCGTTCTGCTCGACGATGGCAGATGGCATGCCGTCGGCTTTGACAGCCACGCGCATTTTGTCTCCCAGCTGTTGCAGCCACGGGCGCATCTTCTTCCGCAGCGCTCGCACGAAGGCGGCCATGTGGGGCGATGGGGTGATCTGCAAATTTCCGGCCTTGTTGAGGCTGCGGCACTTCGGGGGGCTTTCGTCGTCCACGATGCCTGCGACCTCTGTTTTCAAGCCCTTTGCCGCCTCGTCGCCTCGGACGCATTTGGAGACGGTTGCTCCCGTGCCCAGGCGCTCCTCGGCCAAGTTCTGCCAGCACGGGTCTCTCTGCAAGAAGCGGAGCAAGTCTGGGTCCAGCTCCGCCTCCGCCATCGTGCCCGTGCCGTTTTTCCCTGCACCATGGAGATGCACGCGACGAGCTGGGCGCCATCCGGCCGCTGGAAGCGACGAGCCCTTGCACTACTGATTGTCGCTCTGGCGCCAGGGTGCCAAACGACTGCGCGCATATATGTGTAGCGGGCGGTGCGCGAGCCAGCGAGGACTCTAGAAACGGCGCGGACACGGCGTTCGGCAGTCACGCTGCAGCGGATGGCGTCTCGCATTCAACCTCTGCCGCCATTGCCCCACCTGCTGGCGTTTCTTGCACCGCTGCCGGCCCTTCTCGCACCGCTGCCGGCCCGTCTCGCACCGTTGCCGCCAATTCTCGCGCCGCCGCCGGCCCATCGCGCACTGCTGCTGGCCCTTCTCGCACCGCTGTTCGCCCTTCTCGCAGCGCCGCCCGCCTCGCACCGACGCCGCCCTTTTTCGCACCGCTGCCAGCCCGTCGCGCACCGCTGCTGGACCTTCTCGTGCCCGCGCCTCCCTTCTCGCGCCGTTTCCAGCGCTTCGCGCGCCAGTGCGGCCCTTATCGCACCGCGGCTGGGCCCTCTCGCGCGAGGGGGCTGGCCCCGACGCTGTAACTGATGACGTCGGGCTCGTGCTTCGCAGCCACGCCTCAGTCGTAGTTGATGGCATCGGACTCGCGCACAGCGACGCCACCCTCGGACCAGATGGCGTCGGGTTCGTGCTTCGCCGCGCCACCCTTGTAGCCGACTGTATCGGGTTCGTGCTTCTCTGCGCCACCCTCGTAGGTGATGGCGTCGGTCTCGTCCTGCGCGTCACCACCCTTGTAGCTGATGGCGTCGGGCTTGTATTTCGTATTGCCACCCTCGTAGATGCTGACACTGGGTCGCAGTTGGTATTTACCATCGCCTGCGCGCTACAGCCACCACTGCCTGCCAGTCGCTCCTTTTCTCACGTTGCACAGGGTGCCACTGCCGCCCTTTCCGCCGGATGCCTGGACTGCCACTGCCGCCCTTTTCTCGCGCAGCCATTGCCGCCCTTTTGGCACAGCGCGACCTGCCACTGCCACATTCGTCGCACTGCCTCCCAGCTGCCAGTGTGTGGTCGATCTGCCACGGCCCTGTTGTGTCCACTGTTTTGCCCCAGGTCTCTTGATCCATAACCTGTTTATCCCCATCGTCTTGATGTAGCCTGCTTGCGCTGCTGCCGCTGCTGGTCGGCGCAAGGGCTGCCAGCACTGCTTGTTTTGCCTGATTATGCCACCTTTCCTGAATATACCACCAATCGTGCCAATCATGGAGTTTGACTTCGAGCTCTACTACTTGCTGCTTCTGAACACGTCGCTGGTCCATGACCCTGTGCTGCGCCGCCGTCTGGCGCGAACTTCTGGCGTAACGTGGGGGTCGGGACCAGTGGCTGACCTTCGTGAGCTGCAGCTGCGCGAGCCACGGTGGCTCACGTTGCCGCGCCCGCGTCATCAACGATCGCCCTTCCAGCGGGAACCGGGCGCGGCTCGGGCCCCCGATGGCCCTCATCATCCTCCTTTTCCTCCTCCTCCTCCTCCTCCTCCTCCTCTTCGTCGTGCTCCTCATTTTCGTCCTCTTCCTCCTCCTCCTACATTTCCTCCTCATCCTCCTCCTCCATTTCCTCCTCCTCCTCCTCCTCTTCCTCTTCCTCTTCCTCCTCAGCTTCCTCCTCTTCCTCCTCCGCCTCCTCCGCCTCCTCCTTCCCCTCCTCCTCCTCCTCCTCCTCCTCTTCTTCTTAATATTCCTGTTCTCAGTATTGTTATTATGATCAGTATCCTTATTATTATTATTTTAATTCGTATTATGCGCATTCATCTTATTATCACTACCATGTGTAGTATTACTATTCGTATTCAGAATCTTAGTAGTATTCGTATTATGAGTTCCTTCTTCTGATTATTAGTATTATTATCAGTGTTAGTCTTCTTAGTGTTGTCATGCTTGTTCTGATATGTCTTAGTATTGTTATTGTTATTATTATTAGTAACATAATTAGTATTAGTATCATTAGTGCTGTTAGTATTATCAATATTCGTATTACTATTACTAATATCATTAGTATGCTTATTAGTATTATTATTCTGCTTCATACTCCTCCTCCTCCTCCTCCTCCTCCTCCCTCCTCATCCTCCTCCTCCTCCTCGTCCTCCTCCTCCTCGTCCTCGTCCTTCTCCTCCTCCTCCTCCTCCTCCTCCTCCTCATCCTCATCCTGCTCCTTCCCGTCTTCCTCCTCGGCAACCCTTCCTCCTCATTCTCCTCCTCCTCCTCCTCCTGCTCTTCCCCGCGACCGTGTGTAGCGAGTGGATGTATTTGAGCGTGGTCGCAAGGTTCGTGTTGGTCTCCTTCAAATCGCTCTTGTGCGACTGCAAGTCCCCTTCGAGGCTCGCCTTTGCAGCGCGCCAGGGATACTGGGGGGACGGAAGTTCGCGGATCGGATACTTCAAAGAGAAAAATGCACGCTCGCCACCAACAGAGGTTCACCGCCGATCCAGGAAACCTGCGCGGACCTCCGGCTCTGACCTGGATGTCCTAAGACTTCCGCCGTAGGTTAAATCGTTTTCTGGTCGCCGCGGCTGCATCCGCTTAGAAATTCTGGACCGAACGCGTCCCAAGACACGTCCGGGAAGAAATCTTCTTGTCCGGTTGCGAATACACGCTGGTGCACAAATACGTCGGCCGGAATAACCGGATATAACAATCAAAGAAGCTGATGGTCAAAGCAAACGGGTGTAAAATCCGCCAGTCCCTTTGTGGTGCCACCAGGCTGTAGGCCGGAGGCTCGCAGTTTCCTGTACCAGTTGCAGCTTCCAGTTTCCACTGTCACAGTTCTGCTTCTTGCTGCTTACTGTTCCTTGTTGACTTCTTGCTGCTTACTGTTCCTTGTTGATGGACCGCGCGAGAGAGTGAGGCCCAAAACGGGCATTTCTACCACGCCCACATCGTACTGTCTGAATTGCTGGGGTGGGTAAAAATTGACACCCCTCACGCAGATCGGCGGGGTCATTGTCCAAAAACACAAGGGGTTTGCCAAATCTCTGAAATTCGGTGACGCCCCTCACGGAGATCGGCGGGGTCAGGCTCCAAAAACACACAGGAATTGCCACATTTCTGAAATTCAGCGGCACCCCTCACGCAGATCCGTAAGGTCAGGGTCCAAAGACACACGGTTTCGGAAATCCGGTGGCACCCCTCACGCAGATCCGTAGGGTCAGGGTCCAAAAACACATGGGAATTGCCACATTTCGGAAGTTCGGTGGCACCCCTCACGCAGATCGGCGGGCTCAGGGTGCAAAAATACAATTGATTTGCCACATGTTTGAAAATCGGTAGCACTCCTCACGCAGATCGGCGGGGTCAGGATCCAAAAACACAAGGGATTTGCCACATTTCTAAAAATTCGGTGGCACCCCTCACGCATATCGGCGGGGTCAGGATACAAAAACACGAAAAGGATTTGCCACATTTCTGGAAATTGGCAGCTCTCCGCATGCAGATCCGTAGGGTTAGGGTCCAAAAACAGATGGGATTTGCCACATTTCTAAAATTCTGTGGCACCCCTCACTCAGATCGGCTGGGTAAGGCTCCAAAAACACACGGGAATAGCCACATTTCTGAAATTCAGCGGCACCCCTCACGCAGATCGGCGGGGTCAGGCTTCAAAAACACATGGAATTTGCCACATTTCTGAAATTCGGTGGCACCCCTCACGCAGATCCGTAGGGTCAGGGTCCAAAAACCTAAAGGATTTGCCACATTTCGGAAATTCGGCGGCACCCCTTACGCAGATCCGCACGGTCAGGATCCAAAAACAAACAATTCCCGACACTGCTTCACGGCAAAGCCAAAGCCTCATGATTTCGCTTTTCCATGGTCTATTCTCCGAGAGAGGAGGCCGGCGGCAGGGGGGCTCCACTCTGCCGCCGGCCACCGCCGGCCCCCCCCCCTTCAAGGTCTCAAACGGCCCGGGGACGACCCAAGGGCGCCCCAAGCCGATCCTAGAGAGTCCCGAGCAGTCCAAGAGAGCCTCCAGACGGCTCCAGATCGCTCCAAGACGCCAAAGCTAGCCTCCAGACGGCCCAAGACGCCTCCAAGACGGCCCAAGAGGCCTCCAAGAGCACCTCCGAGAGAGCCCCAACATGCAAAAATCATGATTTTTCAATGGTTTTTGAAGGATTTTCGCGTTCTCGCCATTTCGGCTTACCCACGCTCCAAGACGGCCCAAGAGGCCCCCAAGATCGCCCCAGGACGGCCCAACAAGCCCCCAAGAGGGCTCCAAGACGGCGCAAGAGGGCCCCAAGACGGCCCAAGAGGCACCCAGAACGGCCTAAGAGAGGCCCCAGGACGGCCCCAAGAGGGCGCTCAGAAGGGGAACCCAAATGAACATTTTGAGCTTTCGGTCCCAAGAGGCCCCCAGGGGGCTCTTAGAGGCCCCCAGGAAGCCCCCAAGAGGCTCCAAGAGAGCCCCCAAAGGCCCCAAGAGGCCCCCAAGAGGCTCACAAGAAGCCCCCAGGAGGCTCTCAAGAGGCCCTAAACTCCCCCGCAGAGGCCCCGAGAGCCCTCTCGAGACCCCAAGAAGCGTCCACGAGGACTCCGACCCAAAACCCAAGCACGGTGGCGGGATGGGCCGCGCCACGTCACGACTTTCGATGCTGCGCGATCTTCGGCAAACTCCCAGGGAGCGGCCGGTGATGCGCCGCAGGCGTCCCCGATAATCAGCTCACGTAGCCATCTTTCCTGTCGCCAGCGGCGACCATCGTATCCAAGAAATCGCCTGGCTGCGGGGCCGGGCCGAAACCAACTGCACGCAACAAGTTTAATAATCCCCCCCTTCCCGACGCCCCCTTTCCGACCGACCCGAGAGGAGAAGGAGAAGGAGAAGGAGGGCGAGGAGGAAGAGGAGGACGGAAAACGGGACTCGAGTCCCTGGGGGACCTGCGCTGCGGGGGGGGGCGTAACGGCCGCGGATTGGCAGCGGCCGCGGGCTTCCGTGGCTATGCCAGCGACGAACCACGCACACACTCAACACGACACCAACCCAGCACCAACATGGGTCTTCAACGGTGCAGTTTTCTCAGCCCAGCCCTAGGTCTGCACCCAGGGCGGGTGGGTGGGTTTAGGAACCGGGGGGTGGGACCCTGGCTCTCCTGTTTTCCCGAACCCTGCGGCTCGAGCCCAAAACTTGCGGTGACGAAAGACACATGCAAAAACAAACAATGCAATGGCATGCGAAAGCGTGCAACACACATGCAAGGCAAACCATGCAATGACATGCGACAGCGTACACATTCAAGCAACGCAGGTACATGAAAACGTCTGCACGTGAAATGCGACCAATGAAACAATCAGCGGATGCATGACGGAAATGAGCAATCAATAACCAATAACCAACGGCCCCCCCGTGACCTTCCCCACGTTTCCCGGGGCGTACGAAGCAAGCATCGACGCCGGCAGAAAACGAAAGGAAAAGGAGGAGCAGGAGGAGGAAGAGGAGCAGCAGGAGCAAAACGAACCCATGATGCACCAACGATGCTGCAATACACCCTGCCGTCCCAAGTCCCCTCGCCATAAGTCCCTGCAGGCCTTCTTTCTGGCGATAAAAAGCGCACCCCTTGAACAACCAACGCAACGTGGGCTTAACATTGGGGCGAAGTCCCCGTTTTGGAAAAGACAGTCCAATCTTTGGGTATGTTTCACAATCTACATTTGTTGCAACGAACTTCGAGACAACTTCGCGCGAAAACCTCGCTTTGAAGCGGAACCGCCATCCTTCCGCGCAGCTGCTACGTATGCCCACGTGTCGGGCCATTGACTTAATGAAAACTCTGATCTCCACTCTATGAAAGGACCGTCGCCCATCCCTGAACGCGTTGCTGGCTTCGGCAAAGAGCGCGCGCGTCGCCACTGCGAGCGAAAGCCCCATTTTGAAAAGGAGCCGTCCTCCGTCCTTGGAAATGCCGCGAGTTTTGAAGACGATGGGCACGGCACTGAAGCGCGAGCCCCATTTTGAATAGGAGCAGCCCTTGACGCGATGCTTTTCTTGCCAAGAGAGGGGCCTGAACCAAACGTGAACTGCGACGCGAAATAAACTCAATCTGACTGCTTTTACTTTCGGGCGCGCAGGCCCATCCGCTGTCGAGACGGCGCCCCGCGTAAAAGTTGGGGCCCCGGGGCAGTCATTTACCGCCGCGGCGTGCCAGACTGCCAAACTTGCACAACGTGCGCTCGATATGCCTTACCCCACTTCGTGGGGCAAATCGTGTCTCGGCCAGCTGGGGGCCCCCGCAGCTCGCGTCGACGCCTGCATTTGGAGCGCGGGCCCGACGCCCCCCCATCGCTGCCAGCCCATCTTGGGCCGACCGACAGCAGGGGGCGTCAAGCGCAGAAAAGCAGGCAGGCGATGCTAATCTCCAACAATCGCCTCCTCCCCTCGTCCAAGGGTCTGCCCCTGCTCTCGCCAACCACTCAAGATCGCCCCCGCCCGGTCGATCTGGGCCCCTTGCCCCCGCCAGGCTCGCGCTTCGCCGCCTGCCGGCGTCCGCGACGATGTTCGGCGGCGCGGAGCTGCCCGCGACCGCCAGGCGACGGCGACGCTCCTGGTCGCGGCTTTGGACCGACGTGGCCCGCGCGGCCACCCCGGGGCGCCCTTAGGCGCGAACCTCTTGGGCGGCGCTGCCCGCGCCCTCGCGGATCGCGCGCGCCGGCGCGGCGCTGCCCGCGGTCGCCGCGTCGAACTCGTTTCCCTTCTGGGCGCGGCGCGGCGCTGCCCGCGACCGCAGGCCCGAGTGACTGCCCGATCGCCCCCCTTCCGCGGCCGGCCGGGCCCGGGCGGCCCGCGGCCGGCGCGCGCTGTCTCCGCGCCCGCGGCGTCTGAGGCGCCCGCGGGCTCGCGCGCGCGCCGCGCGCGTGCAATCGCTGCCGCCAGCCCCTCTCGCAAGCGGCGACATGGAAGTTGTCTGGCCAGGGAATCCAGCCTCTCGGCCGCGCGCGCCTCCACGCCGATGTCGGCCCAATCCGGGCCCTTGCCGGATGCCGCCCGGCCGCGCGCATCTCGCCCGGCCGAACTATGCGGCGCCGCGGTCAACTCACTCGCATGGCCCGCCCACCTGGCACGCGATCTCACTCGTCTGCCCCGCGCTCGCCGCCGCGCGCGCGACGCCGCGGGGCTCGACCGCGCCGCCGGGCAGCGCGACGGTCGCCAGCTTGGCCGCGCTGCGATCCAGCACGCGGCCCCCGCGCCGCCCCCCCGCGCGCGAATTTGACTTTCACGTTAACTCGTCGGCCGCCAAGTCCGCGCCCGCGCGGTAGCTGAAGAGCTGCGGCTCCGTCGGGCACTTGAGCGCGCAGCGCGTCGCGCGCTGCGACTGCAGGCCGCGGGGCGCCCTCGGCGTGCATATCTCGGCCGCCGCCTAGTGCGCGGCGAACTGGATGGTCGGGCGGTCGATGGACAGGCACTGCGCGGCGCCGGCGCCCTGCTTGAATGTCGTCGCGGCCTCGCCCCCCAGGTCGTCGCCGCTGTCGCGCCTGCCAGCCGCGGTCGATTCAGACGGTGGCGCCGGTGCACTCTTCGAGTCCTCGTCGAGGCCTGCCAGGGCCTGGAGAACCCCCGCGCTTGGGATCCATTTCCCATTCGCAGCCTCCAGGCGCCCAGCGGATCGCCCCCCCCGAGGCGCCGCCCTTCGGCCGACTCGCCGCTCACTGGCGCCCTGGTCCGAGGCAGGATCTGCGTGGCGAACTTCTGCGTCAACGCCCAATCGATCTCGTCGGTCGCCGCGGCTGCGCGTCGCGCGCCGGACGTTGTCAGAGCCGAACATCGAGGGCGCCGCTGCAACCTACTCGGCGCCCTTGAGCCCCGAGGCGTCGGCGACCTCGTTCCCCCGACACTCGCCGGCTTCGCGCGCCCCGCGCGCGGCCTTCAGAGCTCGCCAGTCAACGCCAGGAGGCGCCAGGCCACGAGGCGGAGTGATGATCGCCTTCCCCGACCCAGCGGCGCGTCATTATAATGCCACTGGGACGTCGCGCCGCCCAGCCAACCAGTCGCGACGCCGCTCGGAGCTGGCCCTCGCCGCCGCCATGCTGACGATCACCCTGGGCGCCTCGATGGGCGGCGCGGCCTGGGGCGCGCCCCCCCAGCTGCCGGCGTTCACCTGCGTCGCCAGGGCGGAGGTTTGGAGGCGCCGTTCTAGGAGACACCGCTTGGCGAACTGGACCGAAGCGGCGCCAATTATCCTGGCCTGCCGCCCCCCCGACGCTCGCAATCGGGAACTTCGCGCGGGCCTCGTTGCACCTCGCCGCGACCTGCTGGCCGTCCTTCAGACTGCAGTGGGACTGCCTCCCGCGGCGTCAAATCCTCGTGGGAACGCGCTCGCCCCAACGCAAGAGTCGATCACGAGAAACTTCGCGTCCGTCCGCGTCGGTGCCACCACTGGGTCGGGCCTGTCCGCGTCGCGGCCCAGCGCGGCCGGCGCGCTGCCGCTGCCTGCCGCGGCAATGGGCAGAGCTCCTAGAGGGCGGGGGTCGGCGCGCGCCGGCTCTGCAGCCGCGCCGACAGCGGATGTCCCGCGGCGGCTGGACCGGCGGCGGCCGCAGCGGAAGCCAAGGAGGATGCGCTCTGTTTTTTTGTTTCTGGCGTCGCGGCGAGCGGCCCGCGCCTGTTCTCCGCCGCGGCGAGGTCTCGTTGTCTCTTCGCGCAATCGGCCTTCACGTGGCCGTTCTTCTTGCAACAGGAGCACTCCTCCTCGCCGCTCAGGCCCTTCTCACCGCCGGCCTTGCCTCCCCTTTCCTTGCCTTTCTCGCTGGCGCCATTCGGCTCCATGCCCCCTTCCGGCCACCTGCCTTTGGGGCCGCCGCCCCCCCTCGGGATAGCTCCGAGCCGCGTGGGAGTCGGCCGCGAATCAACGCGCTGTCAGGCCCAGGTGATCCCCCCAATCTCGTCGCGCACTTTGGGATACGCGTCGATGCTTTGGCCGTTTCGCATCAGATTCCCCTTGGCCCTGGAGACCCCCGTGCCCGGCATAACCGCGCCGATCTTCTGCTTGTTGGAGCGGCTCTCGTAGCCCTGCGCGAAGTGCTCGAATGTTGCGAGAGCGCTGGGAATGCATCCCGCGAACTCGTGAGCCGTCGCCTGCGTGCGAAAACCGACGAACCGGCCACGCAACATCGGCCCCGGCCCCAGCACGAAGTGGCGTCACGCCTGTA